AGGGAAGAGGGAGGAAGGCGGATTGGAACAGGACAGGGAGACAAGGAGAAAGGGAAGAGGGAGGGAGGAAGAGGAGGGAGGGAAGTAGGAAGGAAGGAGGGAAAAGGAGGAAGAGAAAAAGGGAAGGAAAGAAGGACAGAGGGAGGGCAAGAGGGAGGGAGGGAGGAGGCAGGATGGGAAGGAGAAAGGGGAGACGAAGGGCAGGAGGGAGGGAGGGAGAGAAGGAGGAGGGAGGAGAGGGAGGAAAGGAGGGAGGGGAGGGAGAAAGGGAAGAGGGAGGGAGAGAGGGGGAATGGGGGAGGGGAGGGAGGAAGGGTTGGCTGGAATGATGGATACTGGGTGGGTAGATGGGTGGAGGGACTCAAGGCCTGAGCTGCGGGGAAGAATGCTGGGGCTTGGGCCCTTCTGGGGTGACGGGCAGAGAGGTAGAGGAACAGCCTCCCAGGCCTCCTGCGGCCACTGTGGGTCCTGTGCTCCCCACGCCCCCTCACTCTTTTGAGGACAGTGTGCCTCCTGCCATCTGAGCGTCGCCTGTTCCTTCGCTGCAGACGCCTGCGTGGGACCCTCAGCCTGCAAGATCTGGCCACCAGATGTGGGTGGGCACTAATGAGCTCAGACCACTGGTCACTAATGGGCTGAGGCCACCAGTGGCAGATGGAACCAGGGACGATGGGGCTGACAGAGAGGCCCCTCGCCCAGGGTTTGGGTGACCCGGACACCCCGGGCCAGGGCAGTGGGGGCAGGGGGTGCCCAGCAGATGCCGGGCTGCCCACTCCGAGCTCAGATGCCTGGAAGCTCCCTGGGGCACCCATGTCCGTCTACCTCCCACTTCAGTCTCAGGGCCCCCCACGGGGATGGGAGGTGGGTGGGGGGTGCTGGGGGAGTGGGAGGGGGCTGTGCTGGGCGGGACTACTCCAGCAGAAAGAAGAGTGAGGCTTCCTGGGCAGCATGGACACGATGGCCCCAGAATCCTCTCAGGGTCAGGCCTGCCCTGGAGGGGACGGAGGCGCGGCCAGCTCGCCCATAAACTTGTCCTAGCGATTTATGAGGCTTGGCCTGTGTGGGTGGGGGTAAGCCAAGGTGGAGCCGCGGCCTCTGATTGGAGCAGGGAAGGAGGACGTCCTTCGCCACAAATGCTCGCCTGGAGCTCCAAGTCTGCTACTGGGGCGTCCGTCTACTTGGAGCCAAATCCCTCCAGGTGACAAGGACCCCCACGGGTCTCACACAGGCCCCTCCAGGCGGTGCAGACCCAAGTAGTCAGAGGGTGGAAGGTGCTTCCTCCTGGCTGGCATGCACGGCATCTCGCACCGTGGGTTGAAGGGAGGAGATGGAGGTTCCCAGTCACCTGAGAACCGACTGCAGGGAGGAATTTCTGCCCCAGAGGCAGCTGGAAAGCAGCGCAGCATCACGTAGGCTGTGGCTCATAAACCCGCTCGATCTCCGTGCCCGCGTGGTGCCAGCCGCAGACAGAGGCCAGGGGGCCTCGGTGCTGGAGTCTTCAGGGCCCTTCCTGCTTGTTCTGGCTCTGCCCATGTGGCGGGCGATTTTTCAGCCCGAGAGACACCGTACAGCCAGGATGGAGGGTCTGCCAAGCCGCGGCCAGGCCTGAGCTGGGCCTTGCCCCTGAGCTTCTTGGCTTCAACAGCAAACCCCGATGTGATGGTGACGGAGCCAGCGTGGCCCTGGGTGTCCAAGAGCCCCAACGGCAACTGCGGAAGGACGACCCTGCCTGCAAATTGTTTCCCCTAAGTGGCCAAACAGCAACGTGGTGGGCCTCCCAGGGCCTGCTCTGCCGGGCACGTGAGCTCCCAGGATGGGTCAGGGCACCAGACCCAGGGCCAAGGACCTGACTTCTCCCAGGCTCAGCAGGGAGCATGAAAACATTTAGGAAAAAGGGACCTGGCCCAGGGTCAAGGCACCGCCCGTGCCGCGGTTTCCCAGCTGCATACTTGGGGGTAGGCCTCTGTCTCCTCCAAAGCAGGACTGGCCGGGGTCACGGAGGGACCCAGAAGAGATGGAAACAGGTGTGAAGGCCCAGACCTAATGTGGAGGCTGGGGAAGCAGCCGGGCCTGGGAGGGCAGGGACAGGGGCCTGTGTGTTTCTGCAGGACGTGTACCAGGGTAAGAGGCTGTGCCCGGATGCTGCGACTGCCTTGCCATGGCAGCAGGGCACGGAGGATCCTCGGCAGCCCCACAGCACCCTCCAAGAGCTCACAGTCCGGGCTTAGTGGCGTCCGCCTCCTCCTCTGTCCCACCTACAAATGCCCAGAGCCCCGGCCCACCCTGGGCCACCTCCATGCGTCTGTGCACGTGACCCGAGAGCCCTCCCCACCCAGCATTGTCACCGCCTCCCACTGTGGCCACCAGCAGAGCCAAAATCTAGACAGTGTCAGAGCACTTTCCTCCTGGCTCAGCAGTGAGTGTCAGTGACACTGAGGCACTTCCAGCCACACCTGAGAACCAAGGGTGCAGCCCCTCTGTGACGGCTGCAGCTGGAACCCCAATACGCAAAACCCCAGGGCATGCTCTCCCCAAAACGTGAGACTCGAAGCCTTAGCAACCCTTGCAGCTGATGGTGGATCTGGCTGTGCAGAGCTGGGGTCTGGGAGACCACACAGCCAGCTCAGTCATCCCAGCTGTGGGGGACCTTCCCAGGCCAAGGCCACCTTGCCAGGCATTGGGTGGAGAGGGCTTAGCTGGGGGCAGTGGGCCCAGGGGACATGAACCATCCCTGAGTGGCCCTCCCTCGCCCTCCCAGGTCAACCTGGTCCCTGTCCGGGGCCATCTCTGATAACTTCGGCTGACACTGAGCCAGTGCTCAGCAGGGCACATGACTGAGGGGTCCTCGCCCCTCTGCAGAGCCAGGAGAGAGCCAGGGCATGTGGCTGAGGGGTCCTCGCCCCTCTGCAAGCCAGAGAGAGCCAGGGCACGTGGCTGAGGGGTCCTCGAACCTCTGCAAGCCAGAGAGAGCCAGGGCACGTGGCTGAGGGGTCCTCACCCCTCTGCAGAGCCAGGAGAGCTGCCCGGATCTCATCCTGGGTCTTCAAAGGGCTGCCCTGTGGGTGTCGCACCTCGGCCAGGACCCCAGGCGGTGCAGGTCAGCAGGGATGGGTCCACTTCCATCTCCCAGGACTGGCACCTGTGGTCTCCCAATTCTGCCTGGAGGGAACCCTTGCTGCACAGGGTGATCCTTCTGTTGTGAGTGTGGCTGCACGGGAGAGCCAGAAACCGATCCGCAAATGACTCACCTCACAGCCTGGGACCCGCCTGGAAGACGGCACTCAAGGGGGACCCCTCTGCCCAGTAATGCAATCTAATAGGAACAGGGCCGGGATGGCGCCTGCCCCCGCCCCAGGGTGCTCTCTCCGTCCCCCAGCACCGGCCAGGCCTCAGGTGACCTCCAGCAGGACCTAGGGGGTGACCTTGATGTGGGCAGGGAGGAGTGCCACAGCCTGGGTCAGCAGGTTTCGAAGGGGGCCTCAGGGCCCCAGGCCACACCCGTGGATCAGCGCTTCCATCCACACCTACCGCCCCGGGGAGCCCGGGGTCCCTGAGATGACTGCAAGCTAGCTGCGCGGCCGGTGGCTGGCCACCGTTTCCAGAGAAATGGAGATTTAAAAGCCACATCAGCCCCAGCCCGTGTTTGACTCAGTTTTCCTCTGGGGATGCCCTTTGGGAAAATCCTTCACTAATTATCAAGTTTGTGTTGACCCCCACCCAGGGATTTGTGCTGCCCACCAAGCCGCATGTCAACAAGACACGTCTGTACCGCACACCAACGAGTCTACCCCACCCACGTATCCCACGCATCTGTGCGGCACATCCATACCTGTCTATATCTTGTGTCTACACCACATGTCTGCAGCATGTGTCTGGACTGCCTGTCTACAACATGTGTCTACACAGCCTGCTGTGTCAGCAGGGTCTGCAGGACGCACAGAGGGGGCCGCCAGCAGGAGCCGAGGGACTCTGGGAGGGAGTGACCCCTGGAGGCGTCCTCTGGGAGAACTCTGGGGGACCGAGCTGGGCTCGGGTGTGACTGTGGACTCGACAGGAGAGGGCGAATGAACCTTATGTTCTCTAAGGCCACCGCTGCCTGCCGCAGGAAGGACATGAAGCTGGCTCCCAAGTTCGATCCCCTCCCACTTTCTCCCCAAGCTGAAGACCAAGCAGGGGTCTGAGTGCCAGGCGGGCACTGCTGTGGGTCCTCTGAGAGTCCAGAGCCGGCTCCCTTGGCCTGGCCCAGCACCGCATTCCTGGTCGTGCTCAGGCCTTGAGCTTTAGCGGCTGGCCATCTCTGAGCATTCCTCTTGGGCGTGGCCTGACTGTGTGGCAGCCCCTAGACACACAGAGATGTCACAGGCTGCAGTCCCAGCTGCCCGCATGAAACCAGAGGCCACATCTTCAGGGTCGCTGGGGTTCCCAACTCTATGGGCCACTGGACTTCGCTCTGTGCTGGCACTTCAGAGTCTGCAGAGAGGAATGAGGGGTCCTGGCCTCAAGCCACAGCAGAGGTGTATTCCTGGACAAAGGGTCAGCAGCCCAGAGGGCTTTGAATAGGGCCCACCTAGTGGGACAGAAAGCCGGGGCTAACCGCATGGAGGGAGGAGAAATCCCTGAGAGCTTCCTGGAGGAGTTGCCATTCAGAAGCACATTCTGAGTGTCTGTTGGGACAGAACTGCTTTCAACACCCCTCCTGCCTGGTGCTCGGTTCCTCCCCTTAGCAAAGGGAAGTGTTGTCAACCCAGAAGCAGCAGCTCTGGGGCCAGAGATGCTGGTTTTCTGGGTGCACCCAGGCTGGGCTGCTTCTCCACTCTAAGGCTAAGCCTCCGCCTCAGCTCACAGGCTTATCAGCACCGCCCTAGGATGCACTGGCCTCCTGCTCTTGAGTGCCTCACCCTGCGGGGGATGGGGGCTCAGCCCCACCCCCGCCCAGGGCCCCTGAGGCTCAGGACAATCGTTGCCTGGGCTGGATTGTTACCTCAGAGACTTTGCCCTGGAAGAGGCCTCAGCAGTCCCGACCCGCGGCTGAGGGCTCCGGGGCGCGGTGCTAGCCCTGCCTGCCAGACAACCCAAGAGCCGAGGATCCCCGACAGCATCACACGGCGCTGGAGGGCGGGTCTTGATTTGGATGAGGCTGAGAAGGGAATGCGGCCGGCATGTTGAACCCACACGCCTTAGACTCCCCTGCTGTGATTTTTGACAATGGCTCGGGGCTCTGCAAAGCGGGCCTGTCCGGGGAGTTTGGACCCCGGCACGTCGTCAGCTCCATGGTGGGGCACCCCAAATTCCAGATGCCCTCGGCAGGAGCCCACCGGAAGAAGTACTTTGTGGGGGAGGAGGCCCTGTACAAGCACGAGGTCCTGCAGCTGCACGCCCCCATCGAGCGCGGCCTGATCACGGGGTGGGACGACATGGAGAGACTCTGGAAACATCTCTTCGAGTGGGAGCTGGGCGTGAAGCCCAGTGACCAGCCCCTGCTCACCACGGAGCCCTCCCTGAACCCCAGGGAGAACCGCGAGAAGATGGCAGAAGTCATGTTTGAGAAGTTCAGCGTCCCTGCCTTCTACCTGTCGGACCAGGCAGTGCTGGCTCTCTACGCCTCGGCCTGTGTCACCGGCCTGGTGGTGGACAGCGGGGATGGGGTCACCTGCACCGTCCCCATCTTCGAGGGCTACTCCCTGCCCCACGCAGTCACCAAGCTCCACGTGGCCGGCAGGGACATCACGGAACTCCTCACGCGGCTGCTCCTGGCCAGCGGCCACACCTTCCCCTGCGTGCTGGACAGGGGCCTTGTGGACGACATCAAAAAGAAGCTGTGCTACCTGGCCTTGGAGCCCGAGAAGGAGCTTTCCCGGAGGCCAGAGGAGGGCCTGAGGGAGTACAAGCTGCCCGACGGGCACATTGTCAGCCTCGGGGACCCGCTGTACCAGGCGCCCGAGGCCCTGTTTGCTCCGGAGCAGCTGGGCGGCCAGAGCCCCGGGCTCCCGAGGATGGTGTCCTCCAGCATCACCAAGTGTGATGCCGACATCCAGAAGATCCTCTTTGGGGAGATTGTGCTGTCGGGGGGCACCACCCTGCTCCACGGGCTGGACGACCGGCTTCTCAAGGAGCTGGAGCAGCTGGCCTCCAAGGGGACCCCCATCAAGATCACGGCTCCCCCTGACCGGTGGTTCTCCACCTGGATTGGAGCCTCCATCGTCACCTCTCTGAGCAGCTTCAAGCAGATGTGGGTCACCGACGCAGAATTCAAGGAGTTTGGGCCCTCTGTGGTGCAGAGAAGATGCTTCTGAGGGGTGCTGCTCTCGGGCCCGGTGGGGAGAGAACCCGAGGCCCTGTTTTGGGAAACGTTCAATAAACGGCAGATGCCGGCGGGTCTGGCTGCTCGGCTCAGTTCCTTCTTGCGGGCGGCAGCGTAGCTTCTGGCCCTGGCGGTGAATCTGTGGTGTCCGTCCACGGCACCCCCACCAAGAAAGCCCGGGCTGAGTGCAGGCCGGTCCGTCTGCAGTTCATACGGAAAGCAGGCCCCCGGCCTCAGGTCAGCAGGGCCCCCGAGTCTGTACTCTTAACAAGGGTCTTAGGTGGGCAGAGAGAGTGGGCAGGGAGGGTGGGGACTAGCAGGTGCCACCTGGTTCTGAGGCCTCAGCAAGAGACCCCACCCGTGCAGGCCCTTACCCTGCACGCCAGGCCCCGGCTGCGCTCGTGGGAGGCCGGGCGGCTGGGCAGGCAGAGCTGCGGTTCTCAGCAGACCGGAGCAGAGGGGAACAGACGGGAACAGAAGTCACTGCCTGTTTAGGGCCCTCTGCACTCAGGGGTCCTGCTCCCAAAGGAAGAATCGGCACTTCTGTTCAGTGAGTGTGACGCTTTTGTTTGTGTTTACTTTCAAGGATGTTTACAGCATCATTGTTTGGGGGCAGAATCCTGGAAACAAAGTTAATGGCCATCGCCAGCCTTAATGGTTGAGTAAACTATGCACGGAGGGAATTTTTCCACATAGATGTGGTGGAATTATCCCAGAATATTATTGGGAGAGAAGTGGAAAATACAGATAACTCTTATAAAATAGCCCTTCCCCTGGGAAAAGCAAGCAGTACCCCTTCCCCATGTCTTTGTCTGTGTCCGGCCTTTGCATGGACACGTGCCTGTGCTCCGCATGGTCACCACCAAGCTCACACACCATGGCTTCCGGCACGTGGCCGGGGGAAGAGGGAGGGAAAGGCGACACAGGAGGAGAGGAGAAGGGAGAAGAAAGGACTCAGGAAATTCCGCCTGGATGAAACGAACTCATTTCCCTGAAACGTGCCCTTCAATCTTCCCATGGCGTGTCCTTTCCATCATTTCACGTTCAGCCGACCTGTGCCGTACTGGGAGCGAGCAGGTGGCCGGTCTGAAGACGGCGTGTAGCTGGGTCACCTTCTCCTCCACCCCGTCGGTCTCTGCCTTTTAACTGGCGTGTGCAGACCATTCGCCTGGTAGCGCATGACATGCGGGACTGGGGTCTGCCACCCCTCTTCCCTCCGCCGTGCCTTCCGCTTCTCGTTCCTGTTTCTTCTGACCTCGCTCTGGGTTGCCGGAACCTGCTGAGGATCGTGTCTCGATTTATTAGCGTGTTTAGAGGACCTTGCTTTTGTAGGTTTCTTAGCGGCCACCCTGGGTGTGACGCCGCATGAGCGGGAGCGTATATGACACCACAGGCTGCAGGCACTGACGTGGTGCCGTTAGAGGGAAGCGTGAAACCTTCTTCTGTCCAGGACCCTTCCCCGTCCCCTCTAATGCACAGTTGTTTTGTCTCCTGTGCGTGCGCCGAATACAACATCAGAGGGCGCTGGGATTTTCCTTCAACCATCAAATATGATTTAAGAGGCTCGTCAAGTCGAATCTTTTGACCCCTACTTTTACCCGGTCTGGTGTTCCTTTGTCCTGTCTGGAGACCGAGACTCACTGTGCCTCCTGTGTTTAGAGAGCGCCCTGCGGCCATTCTGCCAGGACAGGACCCTGGCAACAGTCTCTGCCTTCCTTCTCCCTCCTCCCGGAGGGCGTGCCCACTGCATGCAGGCTCTGCAGGTCCCGCTTCCTCCAGCACGCGGGCTCCCGGCCGCCTGGTTTCAGATCGGGCATCCTCTGATTCGCTGGGCTCCCCCAGGCTGTGGGTCAAGTCACTGTGGCTGCTTCAGAGTTTTCACTGTCTCTAGATTTCAGGAGCTTCATTATGATGCATCCTGGGGTGGGTTTCTTTGGGTTTGTCCCACCACCTTTTCCCACCTCGTGAATGCTGGGGGTTCACCTTCCTGCGGGGAGACCCCTGACCCTAGGGGTCAGGTTGAGGTGGTGCCAATAAGACTGACTCACACTGCCTGGCTCAGCCCCACTGCTGCCGGGGGCGGTGGCGTGGGGGGTGGAGAGGTGGGGACAGGATGGGGGTGAGATGGGGATGGGGGTGAGGTGGGGGTGAGGTGCGGCTGGGATGTTACATCAACTCCCCACTCTTCCCGCTGAAACACAAAGGTGGGGTGTGGTGTTCTCATTGGCATAGGGCTGAAGTAAGGAAGCTTTACCAAAAAGCTATTCTGCTGGGTCACCCTGCTCCTAGTGGGAAGAGGCTTTTCTGGGAGCTTTTTATGTCTGTGCCTGTAGATTTGGGTCGGAGGCTTCTGAGCGTCCTGTTAAGACACCGTGGGAGACAGTCAGGAAGCCTGGGAGCCCCAGTCCTGAGGTCCCTGCCCGCCTTCCACCTTCCAGGCTTTCTATGTTTGTTTGCTGTGTTACATCCAGCCTTGTAGGAGGGAGGACTGGGGAGGAATGGGGCCCTTGAATGAGGTTTTTATTTCTTCCCATGGAACCTGAAGGTTATAAGGAAATGTAGTGAGGGTTCCTGGCCTCCACGGTCAAAGCCCTTCCTGTTAGGGTCACCCCATTTTACACATGAGAATGTCAAGGCTCAGAAGCTGTGACTTTCCGAGGCCACACAGGGAGTTGAGAGCAGAGCTCAGCCCAGAGTCCCAGACCACAGCTCTTTCTCCTTTGTGTACTCCTAGATCCTTCTCCACTCCAGATGGCCCCCATGTTACTAAACTACACCACGCATAAAATAGAACTGGAAGAAAACCCTCTTCTATTCAGGGCACCCTGCCTCTCCTCTAATGGCTTCTGCTACTGCCACTATTGGTATGATGGTAGGAATGTGATGCTGTGCTGGTGATGGTGGTGATGGTGGTGATGGTGGTGATGGTACTGGTGGTGATGGTGGTGATGATGGTGGTGATGATGGTGAGGATGGTGATGGTGGTGGTGGTGATGATGGTGGTGATGGTGGTGGTGGTGATGGTGG